ATATATATATATATATATATACATATATATATATATATATATATATATATATACATATATATATATATATATATATATATATATATATATATATATACAACGACGTTCAAGCACTGAAAGTGTATCTTTATCCTGTTTCCTTAATGGCCAAGTTTCTGTAACGTATAGCAAAACTGACCGAAACTGCCGCAGCATACACTCTACCCTTAACAGATAGCCAGATGTCGCGACGGCGCCACAGATGTTTCAAGTTGGTAAATGCCAATCGAGCCTTCTGTATGAGAACTGACACTTCATCCGTGATGCGTCCACTGGGTGAGATGTAGCTGCCCAAATTACAAAATTTGTTCAATTGTTCTATTACATCCCCAGTTTGAGTGGGGCTGAATGCTAGACAAGCCCAACATTTTACACTTGGAAGGTGCAAAATGCATGTCGAACATGGCTATAGTGGCACTCAAGCTATCCAGAAAAGCTTGCAACTTACCTGGATACAGATGGTGTTTGTGACCGAGAGCGGTGAAATATAGCTCTTGCTGAATAATAACTGAACTGTTGGGGATTTATGAGATCCATCTCTGTTAGTAGTAACGGCAGTCTGTCTGCGTGGTTTGTTCAATAAATCCACGATTCTGTGTTTTCTTCTGTCATATAAATTTTCTGTGGATGATTACGTCGCTTCTAACTTGGTTTATTATTTTCCTCGAAACGCCTGTTCTCTCCAGCCTATATTTTTACTTTCGTATAAAGGTAGGTGTGGCTCAAAGGTTTTACGAAGCCTGGGAATTCATCCTATTCAGTAGGCACGTAACAGATTGAAATTTTAGATCCCATAATGAATTTGAACAGGTAAATCAGAAGACAAACAGATTGTTTGTGATGTTGTGCGCGATACTATCCCCGTTTCTTTCGTTCTCTGCTCTGTCAGTCCTATGGGATCTGGATTAATCTTGGCGTATCTATGTGCAAAACACGTCTATCTCGAATGGAAATTGTGATTTCAGATATTGCATTCTTCTTACCCGATTGGGAAAATACCGTGTCTGACTTTTAGAGCGAACTGACTTCTGTTCGACTAAAAAGTAGTCATCGGTTCAAGTAAAACCTGGTGAAATTGAGCATGCAAGCCGCATCTTACTTGTTTTGTTCCAGGCCGTCAAATCGCGGTGTCAGGATTCTTTTTGGATAAACTCAATTCATGATTTTTTTCATGAGTCCAAATTGCTATGTTGTCTCAGTTCAAGTTGACAACTTTCCTGAAGATTCACCAATTTATGGACTGAATCTTTGTTGCATTCTTCGTACAGAGCACGACTGAAGATCAATCTATATTTTTTACACATGAAGTTTTTCATTATTTTCTTTGATTGTTAATGTTCGCCTGTACGACCGGGAAATGTAGTCATCATCCGTTACGTATTAGCTTTTTTCATCCTCTGTACGTTTGTGTACTCACGGAATCTCTCGAACTGATCATTCTGTCGGCTACCGACATATTCTGACTTTAACAATCCGACAATCTGTGTTCGTAATTAAAATAACCTTAATCACGTAAGAATTTTGGCTCTGGTTAAACTCAAATATGCTAGGTAGCTCCTGTGTCTTGGTTGATTTCATATCTCTTCCTATTTTCCGTTTCGACCGAGTATTGTTACGCTTAAAGACTGTTATTATTTCGAGGAATGTTTGGGCATCTGACGATTGGATGTTACTAAAATACCGCGTTTCTGTAAGAATTCAGCTTGTTTGTGTTGTGGCATGTTGCAATCATAACGTCTTTCCCGCCTCGTCATTTTTTTCAGATATTCGTTTGGGGCTTTGGTTGCATTGGCCTTGGTCCCAAAGTGAACTTCGCTTCACTTCCAACACTAATCCCTCCAGGGTTGTTTCATATCGCCCCACCGGGAAGCACACATCGTCTAGTATCAGTAACTAGTGGTCTACATCATTTCGTCGCACGCAACACAGACGGTATGCTTTGGGCATGGGGAGCGCCTCGAGGTGGTCTACACTGTCTCGGTTTGGGCAGTGGGTTGGCTGCAAATGTTGATCGACAAACCTATCCAATGCCATTGTCCATTCCAGCCCGAGTGACCGATGTGGCCTGTGGAGTAGACCATACAGTTGTCCTCGCACGATCGCTGGTATGAAGATTCAAAAACTGTCGTCGTGGGGTTCTGATTTGGCCTATCAAGTAAACTGTGAAATGTGATTTTCGGCCACAGTTCTGTCGCTCTTACTGTACATAATAATACGTCGACTTTACCTGTACAGAGGTAAATACATACAGATACTGAAAATGACTCCGTTGTCCTTTTTGCTCCCATGTAGGCTTCATACTTATGATTACGTATCATCTGATCATCCTTTTCGTGAATGTTGTAACTCGTCCCCAGTTGGAAATATTTACACAGTTTTAGCCGACACCTTACGGTTCTTCAAATGGTGTTGATAACTAATCCATATCAACGGGAACACACTTTCACCGGGATAGGAACACGATAAAATTATTATAATGCACCATCTGGCTTCTGATATTTATAATTGTTTCCCTAAGAGAATCCTTCACCGGAATAGTACCGTGGTTATCGTATATTATATATTTTTAACATGTTTGGGTTCAGACAGTGTCGAACAAATTGCGGTACAGCCATCTTGAAAACCAATGAATGAGTTCATGATTTACTCGTCGGTATAATGCTACCCAGGGTAAAGTAGGTGGATTTTCTTAGGAGATTCGCAAATGGATCCTTCGGTTTACCAAAGCTTAACCCGTAAGCCAATAGTGTTGCCTGTGGGAAGCACAATCAGCTAAGAACCAGTGTTCAGTTCATCGGATAATGCCCCCTTTGAATGGAGTCAAATGTTCAAGGTGCTGAATTACCTTGCCTATTCAAACCGATGAATACTATAAGAACCAGAACGGCATGTGTGGGGTTCGAACTCCTGTTCTTAGTTGGTCCGGACTCAGGGTTTTTGGCAACTCTGGGTAGACTGAATATAGTTCATCGACTGGGTTTTAGCACCGTGTGTTGGCTTTTTGTCCCCTCACTTTGATGGACAAACACCGTCATTTGATGTCAATATGCAGTGCTTCCTCATCAGAGGCTATTTGAGAATCTTGGTTGTATACGGGCATGTCGAAAGGTGCAAGGCAAGGGTGACCTGTCACTATCTATGCAATTCCATACGCCCCTTACAATATTATCCATACATACACAGACGTGGTCTACTCTTCCTATTTCCTCGACTGATTTTATGACCTATAAAAGAGGGCTGTACTTGGTTAGTGAATGATGCACCGAAAAATGACCTAGTCTGCCCTATTGACTTGTTGATGTAGTCCACGGGTATTTTTCAGTACCCAAGACATCCACTCTCCATCGCGCATAGCATTTCAATAATTGTCGAATAGCAAATGGACTCTTTGCATCCAAAATCAAAACACATTTTATCAAAAGTTTAATGGCTCTATTGTCGGTGCACGCAGTTCGAAAAATCCATTGCCTCGATTATTTTTCACTCGTTTGTTGTCTCCCTTATTTCGCTTTCGACGCAAGGTTTTTGCTCGACTTTCGTCTACCACAATAATCACATCTAACATCTATCTGCATTATTTCCGTCCTGAACCAGTATAATTTATTAAGTATGTTCATGACCCAATACAATGTACGGCTTGCTCACAACAGTCAATTTTTTTGTGTCGGGATCCGCGATCCCAGGTCGCCAACGGGTCACGAAACTCCATGTAACAGAGACGTTAGGTACCTTCATGCAAGTGATGTTCAAAAGATAAAGGTATAGTTTTTGAATGTGTCAAATTATGAATAGGTTCACGAATAATTGGGGGCATTATTTGGAAAAGTAGCCTATGACTTGGAGTTGGCATGTGCGTCAGGAAACAACTAACGGCTGTTAGAGCAGTGGCACCTAAGCATCTATGCAATATACTACACAATCTGCGGTTGCTCGATTGTTATTTTGTTTATACTGCCGGGTTTCGAGTAATTCCCGATCAAAATTAAAGGTCGTATGGTGTGTGTTGATGGTCATTAAACGGAAGCAGCGCTGTTGGATTCAGGTTGTTCTTTTCAATGTTTTGGTTCTCCTCGTTTTTTATTAAGCACGGCTTCGCGGTGAATAGCTGGACTTGAAATCGCTTCTCCTTAGAATGAGTTAGTGATGGCTACCACATTCCAAAGGGGCTCACAACAAATATTTTTGTTATCGGTTGCGGTATAAGTGCAATTATCACCATTAGCCGACTGGTATCTTCCTTTATTGTTCGCCATCGGACATCACTGATGCAGTGGAACACGCATAAGTGGATTTCTACCTTGTCAACCACAACGACGTCAAGTACTAAGATCGTTACCCACGGTTTCATTTTGTCTTTCGTTTGAAAAAGCGTTTAACTCTGACAAACTCGAAAATCTAATAAACAGTTTTCCTCGTAGAAACCCTCTACTGTTTTGGTTTCAACCAGTAGCTTTATGTTCGCACCATGTTCGGAATTCTGCTGGAAGAACGTTTGTTGATTTAAATTGTATCATTTTGGCACTAGCAGGACCGTAAAATTGACAATCATCTGTAAGCTGAAATAAAATACTTGCGGTGTAAATGTGACTGAAATGGAAAAGACTCACACAATAATTCAGTGTTTGATTTTGCTTTAGAGATGTGAGCAGCGGAGCTCACGTATCGGAAATATCCGTCAGTCAGATAATTTCAACCAGCGCCGTTCCCATGACTTGATCAGGGGTGGGGTAGGGGTGGATTTGAACATCACATGTATCATCTTTATCATACGAAATAAGAGGATTTCGCTGTGGTGGTGTTGGCGCAGTGGTTTAGTCGCTGTCAGTGGCGTGCTTTGAACCCCATTGTCAGGGGTTNAGCCGCTCCACCGCCACCCGACTTCGGTGGTAGGTAGCTTTGCTGTCGTCCGGTTCAGTACCGCACCTAACTTATGGGGGCCTTATGTGGTGTGCCACTATAATTCTCGGGGCTTAGATTGCCAGTTTCCATCATTGAATACCAAGTCTTCATGACTATGGGGCTCTCCCCGTCTGCTGTTCACTACGCCAAATGTGTGTAATAAAAAAGGCACATGTTTAATGTTGAATACAAAAATGTCCCTAAAATGTGGCTCAGGGGTAAGGAATGCCATATCTGGACAACGGCATATATTAGACGATGAAATACATTCATTCCTAGATAGAAAAAGTTCAGCGAAATATTTCATTAGTATAGATTTGAACTGACCATCTTTCAAAGTTCACTTTCTCGCACAATCCCAAGTTCTTCTGGCCATTTATACACTCGGAAGCACCATTTATTTTTGCATTAGTTGTGAACTTGGAAAATACATGCATCAAAAGCAAAGCACATAAGTGCTGTGTTACTGTTCCTATTCAGTGAAATGAATTATATCTTTGAAGAAGCCAAGCCCTAGTTGTGTTTATACTTAGTTAGACTACATTCTGTTTAGAGCGTATTGTTTATCAAGGTAGGTCTAGGTATATCCCAGCTAGACTGTGAAATTAATTGCCATGTATTATCCAGTTGGTAACAGTTTGCTTTTCCTCAATATTCCTCGATGATCCACTATCTCTAGAAAGTAGTAATAATTATACAACCAATCCCTTCAGTAATCTGGATGTTTACTCTTTTCCAATGCTCCTTTGTTGTTGGGAGTTAGTTAGTTGTGTCAGTAAATAATTTCTCCCTGGGCGGTCATCAGAATTCAAAATCTCCATGTGTTTTGCTCACTATTGCAGTGTACTGTTTCAACCACCCGAAGTCCAACGGTATTCTTGCAATGATCTCATCTCATGTTTATATCCTTCGTATAGAATCGTCTATTTCTCCTCCCATACCACACTATCACGACTACTTTCAAAGTCTGTCGTCAGTCTCCGATGACCATCGGCCCGTTGCTTCTAACACTGCATGGCCATCTGGTTTCCAATTTGTACGCATGTTAGCTAACCGTTCGCCGGTCCATTTACGTCGTGAGTTCAGTTTTCTCATTTGTTGATTTGCCATTATCATTATTAATACGCCGAATTCATTCAGTTGTTGCTGTTCTTGTTGCTATGAGTAATCATGATGTAACCAAGTATGATTGATGGTAATTTGTGCTCTGGATGAAAATACTGTTTGGTTGCCTTTTGCGAAACAATGAAACCTGTTTCTCTTGCGCAGTACCGACGATGATTCCATGCACCATTGCTAGTGCTCATTAGAATGGCGTGCAATATTCACATAATCATGCACCCGTAATAATAATTTCATCTATACGTCAGTTTTCGAAGCCCGACCGAGAACCAGGTCAAAATTGGATTCAGCGGAATGTACTAGGTTCGGTCGTGGCAGCCAATTTGTTGAGCTGCTCGTCCCTCTTCTGAAAATCGATTGTATATGTATCAATATTGATTGATAAAAAAGTAGACAGCTTTTTGTCCTTGCTCATTGACGAAACTTTATTTGTTATTTTCAATATTCTTTTAGGATACACCACTGCCTTTCAGTTCTGGCTACCTCACACCTACTTAAGCCAGTTTTCCCCCAGTGACTTCACGAACATGGAAGATCCCTATCAAGTGCTCGGGGTTACATCCAATGCCACTGCGGAAGAAATCCGTTCCGCCTACTATGAACAATCAAAGCGAGTTCACCCGGATCGATCGAATGCAGAAAACTCCAATAGAGCCAGTTCAGAAGCGTTTCTTAGACTTTCGGATGCTTACTCACTGCTGTCGAATCCAAGTTCGCGACGGATGTATGATCAATATGTAGCTTCGCAACGCAATGGAGTTTGGTCCAGAATGAATGCAAGTCATTTCAGTTTCTCCGTTAGACTCGAATGATAATTTTTCAACTGTAACTTTTATCCTTGGCCTGGCGAAGTTTTCAGTTAATGCGGCTATACAACCTGTTGTATTCCTTCGTGGTTATCAAGCATTTGGGCATAAGTTTTGGTATTGATTCATGCATGATTTTTCGAGTATTTAAGTTTATTTTTCCGCCTTATCAATGCCATTACTGGGTTTCAGTTTTCTTGAAGCAAAAAATGAATCTTTGTGCGGTGGCTTTAGTTAATGTCTTTAGGCTGCTTATTTAGATAAAAGAACAAGAAAGATTGGAATGTTAAGGGCAGAGTCAAAGGGGAGATGGGGAATTCACATAAACCAAGGTCGCAAGGATAATGTGTAGCTGCAGGAGCGCCAATATTTGCGATACTCATTCATATCACTCAGTCACTAAACACCGGTAACCGGTAGGATGACCAACTCACATCATTTACTTGGAACCTGTTCTCTCTGCTCACTCGTATATTCACTTTTAATCTTTGTTCAACCCTATAGTATTGGAAGCTGTCCTGTCTTAGAGGAGTACGTACATAGTTATGATATCAATAATAATATTGGACATGTTTTCTTCTAAGAATAAGGCGATTGATATCAGATATTCTAAGTTGCATTTAATCGCAATAGATAAGAAGTATCCGGTTATACTAAATATTCGATCATGCTGTATACTCTCTTTCATACAAAACACACCAGACTGAACAAAAATTCACGGGGGATACTGGAACGACTCACTGAAGAGGGTTATATAAGCAGTGAACTATATGAATGCTTAAGACCTACCGGTTCATGCATTCCGAGGCTATATGGTTCGCCAAAAATCCACAAAGCCCAGGTTCCCTTTCGTCCTATCCTATCGATGACTAATTCTCCATAACATGCTGTCGCTCAGTGGTTGGCTGAAATCCCTGAACCTGAAAGGAAACGGTTATCGGTATATAGTGTTAAGGATACCTTCCAATTTACTGAAGCAATACGAGATATAAACGTGTCAGATAGGGAGATGCTGTCCATGGATATCACGTCAATTTTCACAAATGTGCCACTAGTGGAAACCATCCAGTTCATCATAAAACATCTTACTGATAATGAAATTACTTTAGGGATACCCACAGAAGCGTTACGCGAACTTTTATTTCGCTCTACGTATAACGTTCAATTTCTTTTCAACGAAAGGATCTATCGACAAAAGGACGGGGGTAGCAATGGGATCACCACTAAGACCCCTTTTGGCGGATTTTTCTATGGCGATGCTGGAGAATAACCAATTGAAAGGCACGATTACTAGTCTTCATAAATATTGTCGGTATGTAGATGACATATTTTGTATAGCGGATTCAAACTGTGAACTGGATCAACTGCTAGAAAAGTTCAACTCCGCATACCAGGCCATAAAATTCACAAAGGAGGTAGAGGCAGATGATCGAATACCGTTTCTAGATGTACTCCTCACTAGAAGACGTGATGGATCTATACAACGCCGTGTGTAAACCATAAGAAAACCTGGAGTGGCCAATACACGAATTTTTACAGTTATGTCCCGATAAAACTGAAGAGGAACCTGATAAAATGTTTGGCCTCTAGAGCTCGGAGAATCTGCTCACAAGAAGCAGTGGAAGATGAAATCAAATTTATCTCCAAAGTGCTCAGAAGCAATGGCTACCCCGCCCGCTTCATTCAACGAAATATCATGGAACAGGTACCAAAAGTACACACTGATAAGGTGGAAAAGAAGGGCCTGTTCATTAGTCCTCCTTTTAAGGGTGAAGTTAGCGCTGAAACCCTCATAAGACGGCTGAATGGAGCAGATAGTGGTGGCGCAGTGGTTTAGTCGCCGTCAACGAGTGCTTTGGACTCTATGGTCCGAGGTTCCAGCCCCGCCACTGCCATCCGACTTTGGGGGTAGGTGGCTCTGCTGTCGCCCGGTTCAATACCACGCCTAACCTATCGGGGCCTTATGTGGTTCGCCACTCGTGACTATGGGATTCTCTCCGTCTTCTGTGCATCACATGTAGGTGTGTAATAAAAAAGCATCGATTTTCTGCATGAGAAACACTACCGCCTTACCGCCGCACAGCGATCAA